ATTGAGCCCTGCCTCTTTTTGCTTTGAGATGAGGTGATCACTTTCATTTAAAGTGAGGTGTTTTAGACGACAGAACTTTACTTTTTAAGGACGTCGTTGTAGTTTTCGACCCACTCCATGTTCGGTGCTACTCATCCCTCTCAAAAACCAGGCAACTATGCTTTCTTTTCATGAATGTCCCATGAATAATAAGAGCACTCTGGCACAGTATTTATCTTTTTCTCGCTGCTTCTGAGCTAGGATGATTTCGACTCAAAGGCAGACTTCAGTCAAACAAATCTGGACTCATGGAGATCGCATGTGTAAACTTTTTTGGGGCCTAACTAGACCCAAAGCCAGCGTGAATGTGCACTTGCGGCTGAAATATTCATCCTCAAATCAGACCCGCTATCATATTCAGTGGACGACTTGCACTGAGTTGCATGCTATTGCGTGCGGACTTACGGCCCTCTGGTCCTGCGCAAACCTTGCAAGCCTATGCCAGTCGTCGACTGATACAGTGGAGAGTCTGCTTCGGAGACTTTATCTCAGCCGTTTGGACCCTTGCGCTGCGACTTAAGCAATGTAGTTAGGCTCCCAAAAACAGATTCCAAGTGCGATTTTCATGAGTGCGATTTTCGTCAGAACGTGAGTAGTACATTATTTAAGTTCCGGATTAGACTCGCTGTCTTTAAGCAAATGATGCAACAGCACTTTTCAAAAACCTGCACAACTTATCAAATATTGAAGCCAAACGCATGGGTAAAATGTTACAGCAAGACAGCAAAAATGTGCTGCCTGTTTATGTACGGCAAGGTGGTCAAACACACAATTTTCAAGATTGATTCAAGTGACACAAACTTGAAAGAAACTGCCATGTATATTTCGCGTTTATCAGTGAAAAAGCCGCAAATTTGTGTAGTTTTTTGTTTCAGAATTGGTCCTATTCACCATGCAAAGATGGTGACCAATATCAACGAAGATACATCGACCTCTGGCGTCGCTTTGCGAATAAATACAAAGATGTGTGTCACTTCGGATTTACATTCGTCACAACGTGAGTAGCACATCATTTAAGTTATGTAAGCATGAACTCTTCAGCCTTTCTCATGAAAGAGGATTTACTCTTGAGCTGCTCGACGAACAAGTCTCATCAGGCCTTGATAATCTCTATCGTACGGGTAAGTGTATGCTAGCGGATGATATATAGGCTTTGAAAAAATTCTTGCAGGAGCATTGGATAAAGGAGTCAGCGTTATAATGGGTGATCATGGGAATCGAATCGGACAGGTGCAATACACCTACAATGGCAGGATCGAAGAGCGTATGCCACTAATGGCAATCCGTTTGCCACCAGATTTCAAACGATATTATCCGAGAGAGTACGCGAATTTTTTGAACAACAAATGGAAGCTGACTAGGTCAGTCCTATCATGTATAATTTACATGTAAAAACTTAATAACTTTCATAATAAGAGTTTTCATCATCGTTCAAGATTGCTTAGCGTAGCGAAATGACTTAGTGTTAGCGGCACGAAAAAGCTACTAGGGGTTGTATACTCTCTCTCTCTCTCTCTGTGTGTGTGTGTGTGTGTGTGTGT